CACATCTCAGCTGCCCCCACCCCATGGCCCCTGTCCCGACTTACAGCAAGCCCCCAGGGCCACGGTGGCCACCAGCAGCAGCAGCAGGCTGGCTGCCAGCACCCCCGCAGGGACACGCCAACGCCGGGGCCAGCGCCCTGCAAGAGATGAGCGCCCACGGGCATCACCTCGGGGTCCCACTGCCACCACCCAGTGCCCACCCCGTGCCGGGGCATGCCCACGGCAGTGGCCATGGCCAGGCTCTCACCTGGCCTGGGCTCCACGGTCACTGGCCCCAGCGGCACGTTCTCATAGGGGCTGTCGTCCTCATCAGGGGCTGCGGGGCAGGCGAGGGCAGTGAGCGGGGTGGCTGCAGCAAATTTCAGGTCAGCATAGACCACGGTCTGGGCCATGTGGGCAGGCACCGCCCCACATGGCAACAGTACAGGGACTAGGTCCTGCCCTGCTCCACCACAGTCAGGTGGCATGCTGTGGCCAAAACCACGTGGGATGGAGACACATATTAATGTGCAGAAAAGCAGAAGTATTTGTTTTCTTTGCAAGAAGTGGTTTTATTTCTGAAGCCACTCTTGCTTTCGGGGGTGGGAGGTGAATGACCTCCATCCCAGGCAGCATCGTCTATATCTGCCTCTCCAGGCTGTGAGGAGCCTTGGCAGCCCATGTCTACTGGCCACAGTGGGGCCATACTGCCCCATGCATCACCTTCCCCGTCCCAGCCCCTGCCCAGGAGAAAGGATACAGTGACTGCGGGGGCTTGGTCCTCTGCACGTGCCAGGAGGGACTCCCAGGGATGTCCATGCTGGAGCTGCATGCTGCTGGAACAACCCCAGTGATCTATATCAAAACCTTAACAGCCCCCAGGACCAAACTCCTCTAAACCAAGCCTCAGTGGGCCTTTCAGGCTCTCACATGTCACTCAGCCTCAAAGCAAAGTGAGGGCATTTGCTGTGACCTTCTCAGAGGCAGGCACCAGGAGATAAGGTTCTGCCCAGCTGGACCCCTCCGTGGGATCTGGGAGGCCAAGGGTCACCTCTCAGCTGCCTTTCCCGAGAAGCACCCGGGAAGCCACCACGATCAGAAAGCCCAGAGCTTTGAGGGGATCTGCTCCAGCCTGCACAGGAGCTGCTCCACACTGCCACAAGGCCATGAGGATGTAATGTTGGCTCCTGACCACTTCCTTCAGTGCCACGGCAGCTACCATTGCCCACTGGGCAGCGATATGACCGAGTCAGTGAGCTGAAGGATACACCTCCACCCCACCACCCTCATCCCTCAAAGGCAGCCACAGCATCCAAGTGCCAGAGTTTATTGGGAAAGTGCAGAGATCCAGGGATGTAAGGAGGTCTGAGTGAAGAGGCAGCAGTGGCCAGGGATGGACAATCCCCCATGTGCTGGGATTGGGTGGGGAACAAGGTGGTGGGACAGACTGGAGGTCTCCAAGGTCATCAGGACCCCACACAGGTGTAGGTGGTGTTTCCCCAGAGGAAGGTGGGAGGAGAGGACCGAAGCCACTGCAGGGTGGCTGCATGCTGCTTGCAGATCCATCCGAGGGCTTCCCCACACAGACCACCTGACAGCCCCAAGCCTGACACCCTGCCGCAGGCCAGGAAGGATCTGGTGGTGTGCTGGATTGGGAAGAACCTGCTGGGAGAGAGCAGTCTGAGATGGGATGGGCAGGAGGGCCTGAGGTCATGCCCTTAGCATCTCCCGCAGCGAGGGACTGGAGGCTGCAAAGAGATGCTGTGAGGCAAAGCTCACCCTCCCCATGGAGCACTCTTCTCGGACACCCTCCTCACAATTAGGACACGTGCTTTTACCCCCACCTCCGCCCCTACCCTGCGTGTTTGACATGCAGCCCCCACCCAGCATCCACAGGTTCCTCCTGGCAGGGCTCTGCACCAAGGGAAGCCTGGGAAACTGCTTTTGGGGGAACCCCTCACAGCCTCTCACACAGGTAGGGTGTGGGCACCAGAGTCAGGCCCCTGCAATCTTCCCTTCCCCAGAATGCCTCAGTGCAGCCCTGGGAAGATGAGAGGTGGCCAAAATGTGGAGCACATGCCTGTATGCCAGTGGGCTGCCTGTCCCCTCCCACGCCATCACCTCCCCAAGCCCTGATGCTGGACCCTCAGCAGCCCTGGCTGGGGACAAGCTGACAGCCTCACCTCTTTAGTGTGGTGCCATCCAGCCACTTCCAGTCAGACCTGGAGCCATCCCGCTTCAGCCCAACGTGGAAGACTTCCATGTTGACTGTGCGCACCAGGAAAGCCTAGCACAGGAGAGGACACGCATGAGCTCTCTGGGGGAACACCCAGCCCCAGCCGCACAGTTAGTGATGGGGGCTGTGCAGTACAGGCACAGCATCATCGGCTCCCTGCCTGGAGGCTTGGCTGGGCTTTGGGCCTGTGGGCCAGAGCCAGTGAGCTGAGACAATGCTGGTGATGGCTGGGTGACTGCTGAGGGACCTTGTGGTGGTCACCAACTCAGCCCAATGCCCATGGGGAGTTAGACAGGCCAGGCTGGGTGCACTCACCAGGGTGGTGTTGGCTTGGATGGTGACCAGCTGTGCCCCTCTGGAGCAGCAGTCCTCTCTGCTCTGCTCCCACGTCTTTTTGGCAGAGGAGAAGTAGTAGCACTGCCCCGCATCCCAGAGCCAGCCGGCCGGGCAGAACTGGCATTGCCCTGCACACCAGAAATTCAGCCTGTGGGAGCAGCAAGGGCAGGGCAGCTGGCAGGGGCTACCCCCAGCCCCCAGCCCAAGGGACAGGAGGGTGACAAGGAGTAGCTAGGGTACCAACCAACCCAGCGTACTCTTATGCCTGCCCTGCAGAGAGGACACTCCACTTCTCCTTACTGTGGAGCCCAGCTCCCACATCTCAGTCCCAGCTCCCCAGAAGGAGACCCAGTAGAGGGGGGCTCGATACACAAAGGTGCTGTCATCAGACAGGTTGGTCAGGGATGGGAGCTCCAGGTTTCAGGATGTGATACAAACATAATTTTCAAAGCCCTGGGAATGCAGTCAAGATTTCAGATTCACCAGAGACCAATTGAAAGAGCACCTGATGCCATCCAGCACACAGAAGCTCATGGCAACCATGAGCCTGGTGCTGGTGGTGTGCCCAGGTGATGCTGAGCCAACTGGGGTCATCTCTCCCAAATGACCACCAGCAGCCTAGCCTGTTCAGCAGCTCTGGGGCAGCTCTTCTTGCCATGACCCAGGGGACAGGCAGCAAGGGTGAAGGAAGACTTGGGGAGAGACACGTTCTGGAGTAGGGACAGATCCTGCCTCTTGAAAGGAGCAGTCAGGCCCTCTCCAAACCTTACCCAAGAGCCTGCCAGGCTCTCCTACCTCGCACTGTCTGTTGCTGACAGCTGATGCTCTCCTCCATACTCCAGGGACTACGGGTGCAGCTTGCTTGTTGCCCTAAATCTACAGAAGAAAAGCACAGGAGTGTCCCCGCCAACCCCAGGCTCCTGCTTCCAGCAGCACCAGTGTCCTCTCCCATGAGACAAACCCACAGCTGCAGCTGAGGGCATCCCGCCCTTTAGATGACCTGCCAGCCAAGCCCACCAAGGCCCTTGTGGCTTTTGCTGTGCTTGGGAGCCCATCACACAACAAGTTTTTGGGGAGAGAGCTTCTGTCTTTTGGTTTCAATGCCACTGTTCTCCCTCCTGTCTTTATTTTGTTGCCATGTGATGGAACGGGATGCCCCACACCGTCCCCCAACCCACACTGTCTCTGTGCCTTCCTCTCTCACCCAGACAGGTGAGGATTTGCGTCACCAATTTTCCTTCTTGCCCCAAAACCCACAACACCCTTGGCCCCAAGCAGGAGGGCCCAGCTTCATGGGCAAATTGCAGCTCTGTCTTTTGGTACATGGACCCCATGGCACCAACCCCAACCCCAAGACCACATCCGGAGAGGTCCCAGCAGGTACTCACAGTGGAAGCTCAAGCCAACAAGGATGATTTGTGCCAGGAGGAGCAGCAGGGAGAGGAGAGCCAGGCTGAGGGCTGCCCAGCACCAGGGCAGCCGCACTGGCTGCTGAGGAGCTGAGAAAAGGAGTTAACCTGGGCCCTGGGGACTTGGTGGGAACAGTGGAGACCCCCCCAGACAGGAAAGCTCTGTGAACCCCAGGCTGGATCTCAGGAGACAGTGGGGGATCCCAGAAAAAGTGAGGGAGAGCCCATTTGCAGCACCTTGACCCTCCAAGCAGATAGCACTTGGCACAGGGTGGGGAAAGCAGAGCGGAGGCGCCTGTGTGCGCTGTGGCACTGGGTTGCAGTGAGCATCCCCTGTCCTTGAGCCCCTCCTGCCCCTTGCCCTGAGAGCAGGCAGTCTGCAATGGGGCTGGAGAGGAGATGTTTGGGAGAGGATACTCGAAAGGAGGGACCAGCGGGGACCAGGGCTGGGACAACAGCCCTGCAGAGATCAAGAGGCTGTAGGAGGGCAGGGGACCCACCAGGAGAGCTGGGGTGCTAGTGGCAGGGAGCAGCGCTCCATTACCTGGTGTGGGCGGCAAGCGAAGATCGGCATATGTGACCCCCTCTTCCATCCTTCCCTCCGTCTCTTGCTCTGCACCCCACGAGGGAAGTGACAACCCCCTCCCAGCCCCCCTCAGCAGCCGGGTGTGACACGAAATGGAAAGTGTCACTTCCTGAGAGGTCCCCGGAGGCACCACCTGGGCCACAACTCTGGGGGTTCACAGTGTTGCCAGCAACCAGGGCAAGGGGGAACCCCGACAAAGCTGACACCTGGGCTTTCCTGGCATGAGGGAACCCCACACCCCTGGCATCAGGGCAGCGAGCAGTGGGGATGACTGGTAGCTCAGACATAGGGCCAAAGCTGGGCCGGGCAGAGATGCTGAGGCTGCTTTCCTTGCCCTGACCCCTCGGTGCTCAGCAAATCTGTTTTATGGACTGTGCAGGGGACCTGTGCATCCTTGGGGAACAAGTCACGGGGCCCTGGTGGTTGGATGGTCCACGGTGGCTGAATCCCCAGCCTCCACGCTCTCAGCGCAGCAAGGCCACAGGGTGTTGGCTCAGATGTGGTTCCTGCCAACTTTTTTGCATGGGGCTGCAGCTGCATCTTAGCCCTGGAAAGCGGGGGGCTGGGGTGCTCCTTCCCCTCCCCGATCCTCGAGGGCTGGCGTGATGGCCAACCCATCTGTGGTGGGGGACGGAGACCCCCACACCCGCCAGGGGTGGTCGTGCCCC